ACCCGCGTGCATAGAAAAGATAATCGGCAGTTTTTTAATAAGTGATTACAGTGAAGCCAATGGAATTGTAATCAAAGGGTACATTATATACACAGCATCGAATACATCCAACCTGCAGTTCACCAGGTACATCTTTATATTAATAAATAAACAAGTCACATCTCTCGCTATTGTCGATCGGGCACACTTACGCTCTCTCGAACTGATCCCTCGACATCGTACAGGCCCGCTAGCAGAACCAGGGCACACTTACGCTCTCTCGAACTGATCCCTCGACATCGTACAGGCCCGCTAGCAGAACCAGGGCACACTTACGCTCTCTCGAACTGATCCCTCGACATCGTACAGGCCCGCTAGCAGAACCAGGGCACACTTACGCTCTCTCGAACTGATCCCTCGACATCGTACAGGCCCGCTAGCAGAACCAGGGCACACTTACGCTCTCTCGAACTGATCCCTCGACATCGTACAGGCCCGCTAGCAGAACCAGGGCACACTTACACTCTTCCGAAGAACACTTCGGAACCGTACAGGCTCTGAACAGCTGACTCAAGAGTCACTGTGGTTCACACACATTGGTTACACAAGAACAACACAGATCGACTAATAGACTCTATAAATACAGATTATTAAATCATTCACGAATTAGAAATATTACCTCTAATTGTTTTACCTGTGACTAGATTCTACTGCTGTCCCTTTTACATAATCAAAGACATAATAGATTACATAATAAATTCCTTTTAAGATCTGACACCACATCAAGCATACTTGATTCAACTACCATCTTCTCATGCTGCCTCACAAGCATGATTGACTGACGACATCAGCTGACATTGACAACATCAGCATAACCTCAAAGCAACACAGCAATATCCAAAGAAGCCTTTATAGCATAAGAATCACAAGAACACATCATTTGAATAATCCAACGGAATTATTTATTTCTACATAACAGTGCAATATTATAATAATTGTTTACAATCATTAACCTTGTTTCTAATAAATATATTATATTTTTCAGCCTTGTCTGTTATTGATTTCCTTTAAAATTATCCTGACGAGAGACTAATCCACTGAACTATTGAATTGGTAGTTCGAGCCATAAAATAAACCTTTAAAATCGAACATACATATATGTAGATTTGTGAAAGTGTAAACGCAGTAACAGATTATTCTGTTATACATGATTATTTCTCTTTCTGATTCTACCAACATAAAATACCAATGTATTTTTTGTACAATTACTTCTCTCTCCTACTCTTCGATACATTCAATATTAAGTTATGACCATTTTCACTACTTTTCTTTCTACAGCAATGATTTAATCTATGCATTTTATTCTTTTTTTGTTTTTCACTGTTACGGATTACAACAGTTTTAAGCGGAATACAAAGATAGTTAGGTATATTGAAGTAGTGGGTGATTACTCAACAAAAGGGTTCATTGCAGCATACCGTTGATTCTTAAGCCGCAGAGGCATTCCACAAGTCATGTATTCCGACTGTGGAACAACATTCGTCGGAGCCGACAAGGAATTAAAAAAACTATTCTCTCAACGCACTAAGGAACACTACCACATGACGGCCACACTCATGGTGGATCAGACACAGTGGAAATTCAATCCACCTGCAGCTCCCCATATGGGAGGAAAGTGGGAAGCTGCAGTTAAATCCATCAAATTCTATATCAATCGATCGACAAGAGACACACCATTTACCATTGAAGAAATCTCAACGCTATTAACCCAGATAGAGGCCATCCTGAATTCACGTCCATTACAATCATTAACTGACAACCCTGACGATTGTTCAGCCCTTACACCAGGGCACTTTCTCATTGGAGGACCCCTTAATACTCTACCAGATCCATCAGCAAATGACTCAAATTTATCAATGCATTCAAAGTGGCAAGGCATACAACAACGAGTCCAACAGTTCAGGAGGCAATGGACAAAACATTACCTGCAACAGTACCTTTGGACATCCAAGTGGCATAATCCAAACCATGGTATTAAGGTCGGATCACTAGTCCTCATCACAGACCAAAGAATACCTCCATGCGAATGGCCTCTCGGCAGAGTGTTAGAATTGCACCCTGCAAGGGATGGATTGACCAGAGTGGTGATATTAAAAACTGCTTTTGAGGCCACATATCCTATATAGAAGTGTGCGCATAATTATGCTAATCCTTACAACATTAGCAGAAGCCACTTTCAATGTAAACACTTCCAGGCCTATTCAGGCGTGTGTGCATATATACATTTCAAGGCCATATGTCCTACACAGGACTATGAGCATATTACTGTTAATCGTTACAACACTAGCAGAGGCCACGACATCGCCACCATCAAGGAGCAACCTCATCATTGAGAGAAGACAGAGTATACACTCTTGTAAGAAGTGAATTCTGCTTATTATTAATGTAATTATTAATAAACCATATGTTAACGAAGTTTGCACATACTACATAATTTTACAACCCTTCCACTTGACTCCCACCTAAGCATCTGCTAGAGCGGGCGGCAAATTATTAAAGCTATCGAAACACTGGCAGTTCGAGCCAGGAAATAATACCACTTTCGAACAGTATTTAATTATAAATAAGAGTAAAAAATATAAATATGTAATGGATAAGATAATTTTTTAAATAAATAAATCTCTATTTTATCTATTGCAATTACAATACTTTTTATTAATGGATTTATATAGTGTTCGGAAAATAATTCCACAATTTAACTCGTCAGCCAAACGTGCAATAATTAATTTAGAACAAAAAACCCACTAGATGTTGTGTGGGGTTGCCGGGCAAGTAAAAGGTGAATGATGAGCAATGAACCCGACGGCCACAGGCCACCAGCATACCTGCATATGGGCCATGTCCCGTTGTCTCACAGCATACTCCATTTCCTCTAATACACGAACGGTAACAGTATTTGAAAATTGAAAGAAGGATACTCGTCAAGAAAAGCTCTTCAATATAGTGTATACGCACAGAGAAGGGAATTCGAGCCCAACAAATTGATGGGCAAACTACCACTATCTCGAGTAACACCAACCAGACCATTCTCACATACTGTAGTGATGTAATAGCCCCGTAAACTTAAAATCTGGAACAGCAAGGGGCAAAAATCAGAAGGCATAGTCTTGCGTTTATTTTTATATGTTTGCCACATAAGCTGTTTATCTCGAAGCTATAAGTAATCACAACAATGAAGATTTCATAGCCACCTTTCGGCGATTCGCATCTCACCGAGGTATCCCTCACATACGTATTCAAAATGTGATACAACCTTTGCAGGAGTAAAAAAAAAGGGGGAATTAAAAAGGGGTCAATTTCATAAGCTCAAGGAAAATAAAATTTACAACCATACTCTCGCAGGACAGCACTCAATGGAATTTAATCCGCCATCCGCATCCACATAGTGAATAAATGGAAAGCCGTGGTAAAATCGGCAACGTTATATCTACGACAAAAAAAGGGGAGAAAAAGCTGTTCACGTTAAAGAAATTACAAAACAATTGTAACAACTGAGGCCATTCTGAATTCAAGGCCATTAGAATCCTTAAGCAAATATTCAGATGAAAGTCACGTTGGCACCGATGGACTATAACCACAGTCGTTATAATAAAACCAATGACCACCACCATGGTAAAACCTACATATAAGGTAACAGTCCTGCCAATCCCTGTGCAAGAAAAATAATCATCAATAGAATTGCTGATGGCGATTAGCAAATTCGGAACTGAGCCCGGAAGGAAGTGGAAATGAAGACGTGCATAATCTATTGTACGACCCAAGATCAACCTCTGATTGGTTAATTAATGAAGGAAGAAGGGATCCCAAGTGGAGCGGGATCAGTGAACCATTTAAGAAGAGACTACGTAATGTACCTTCACTTACTCTTTCCAAATACTTCTTACAGTATGAGAATAAGTCACGACTTACTCCTTCCAAATACTTCTCACAGTTGAAGGATAAGTCACGACCTACTCTCACGGAGGAGGACCGGATTGCAAGGGAACGTCATAACAAGCCACCGAAGAGAGACTGGAAAATCACGATACACTGCAAGTAAGTCCTCATAGCTAGTACTCATTCTTGATTTCTCGGCTTATGTAGAAGACGGACGGATAAAGTCCAACTACGGAAGCTTCCCGGACATACTCTTGAACAAGACCAGCTATAAAAGCTACATTGGCTTCTCAATCCCTCCAACTACAAGTTGTTCCCGCACAGCTTGGCATAATCTCTATTTAGGCTCTCTTACGACCTATATTTATGGGCAACTGCACACGTGTTGAATTGACACACAATATCTATTGTAATGTTCGATCAGAGCACTACAATAACCATAACCTCTTAGTGATAATATTCAATAGATTATAACCTGCTTCATTCATAGTAAATATATTTCAACACCACAAGATTATCAAGAAATATAAAGTTCGTCTGTAATTCACCATTTTGTAAATCAATTCAAATAAATAGAAATAATAAAGACATGTGTTAATTATTAATCAGTGCATTCACCCTTTACTTGCCCGGCAACCCCACATAACATCTAGTGGGTTTTATTGTTCTACGTTAATTATTGCACGTTTGGCTGACTAGTCAAATTGGCGGATTATTTTCCGAACAACGATCATTCCCAAATTCTTTGTACATGTAGAGGACATCAGTGTCTACAAATATCGTGAGGTACAAGTGATTTAAGTCATAAACTTCCGAATAATTTAAAGTAATAGCATAGGATTTGGGCAACAAATACTGGCCTCCTAATAGCAGGATCCTTCCCAAGTTCTTTGTACATATAGAAGACATCAGTGGCTACAAATATTTTAAAGTACGAGTGATTTCAGTCATAAACTTC